ACTCATGAGACTGGGTACACTGAGGGGGAGTGGCTGGCATCTCACTGCCCGCTGAAGGCTGCCTGGGGTGAGGAGAGAGGGCAGCAGGGCAAAGGTGCATCCTGTTTCTCATGAGCTAGAGCATATATTAGACTTGAGTCATCCTGTAAAACTCACCCAGCCTGCCAGGCAAGGGGCCCTCAGAGAATGTAGGGTACTTCCCGGGGTATGAGTGGAAAAGGGGTGTGCGAGAGGTCACAGCGTGTGCTTTGAGTCCCCACGTGGTCCCCACGGAGGCCTCTGAAGATACCCCAGTTCACCCCCATGTGAAAGATCCAGCATGTGAGGGCTCATCAGGATATGGCGGGGGCGGGATCTGACACTCAAGCGAGAACTATACCTGTTCTCGCCTGTTCCATCTGAGGCCCCTTGTCCACTCATTCCTTTGCTCCTGTACACCAGCAAGGGGAGCTGGAGAGGAGGCAGGAAAGGACACGCCTGCCTAGTCTCCATACTGCAGATTCCTGAGCCATCTGTGGTCAGACCAGAGGGGCGGGGAAGAGGTATCACACTGGATGTGAGAATGAAGTTTTGGTTGGACTAGAATGGCCTTCTAGTATTTAAATTTGAGACTGTTCTTATAGTTGAAACTAAAAGCTATGGGATCTAATGAAGTATTGCCAACTTCAGCTCATTCAGTAGCCCAGTAACAATAATTTATTTCCACTATTGAGGAAGCTACTCTGAGACATTCGTCACTCACAGCTAGAACGCAGTTTCTTTTTATTTATTTATTTATTTATTTATTTATTTATTTATTTATGACTGCGTTGGGTCTTTGTTGCTGCGTGCGGGCTTTCTCTAGTTGTGGCGAGCAGGGGCTACTCTTTGTTGTGATATGCGAGCTTCTCTTGTTGTGGAGCACAGGCTCTAGTCTCACAAGCTTCAGTAGTTTTGGCACGCAGGCTCAGTAGTTGTGGCTCGTGGGCTCTAGAGTGCAGGCTCAGTAGTTGTGGCGCATGGGCTTAGTTGCTCCGCGGCATGCGGGATCTTCCCGGACAAGGGCTTGAACCTGTGTCCCTTGCATTGGCAGGTGGATTCTTAACCACTGCGCCACCAGGGAAGCCCTAGAATGCAGTTTCTGAGATGAAATACAATTCTCATCAGTTCACTCCCAGGCAGGGAGCTGCTTCTGGGGGACAGAGAAACCACAGAACTCTCGGCAGTCTTCTAGGGCTGGAGAGACAAAACCAGGGACTTGAAAGGCTAATATCCCAGAGAGAAGGAGTGGGGGGACAGAAAAGTGAGCTTGATAGATGGCAACATCCCCCTTAAGACAGTCGGCAGATTCTGAAACAGTGCAGGCCAAGAAGCTAAGAAACCAAGCAAAAAGTTCCTGAAAAGCAGAGCGGAGGAACTTCCCTGGTTGTCCAGTGGTTAAGACTCCGTGCTTCCAATGCAGGGGGCAGGGGTTCGATCCCTGGTTGGGAAAGTTCTGCCTGCTGCAGAGTGCGGCCAAACAAACAAACAAACAAAAACAGAGCAGAGTTTCCAGCAGTCTTGCCATTAGAACTCAGGACTGGCGGGAGGGGCCTCGGTGAACACCTAAGAACACTTGGAAATCCTGAAAGGCAAGGCCTTAGAAGTGAAGGCCAGAGTTAAATGGTGTCTTATCAAAACTGCAACCCAGCCTCCATCCAGCTCAGCCTCTGATTGGATTAAGATGTTCAGTCCTCATGCCATCTGTCTTGCAGAGAAAGGGTGAGCCCTCTCCAGAGTTAGATAACATCACCTGGAGACTCTAGATATTTTTTTCATGCACAGACATTGTATGGCATTCCACAAAAATTACAAGGCCTGCCAAGAGACAGGACCAAATCACTGAAAACAAAGAGAAAAATAGTCAGTAGAAATAGACCCCACAGGTGACCAAGGCATTGGAATTAGACAGGGGCTTTAAAATAACCATAATTAATATGTTCAAGAAAAACAAAGCAGAAGATGGAGAAAATGGATGAAAAGAGAATTTTACCAGAGAATTGGAATCCATAAACTTCATAGTCCAAAAGATTGAGAGCATAGAGAAGACACTTGAGCTCCTCATCGACAGGGGGATTTTGAAAATGCTGGTTCAGCTCTATACAAGCCATAAAACCCTACAACCCACAGTCTGAGAAAAAGTTTGCCATCACAGGTTGTCATTCTCTCTACTTCTTAAGTGGCTTCCTTTAAGGAACACATATTGTACCCTGAACTCTTGAGTCTACTCTGTCCCATAAGCCCAATCCCTGGAATGGAGCTCTGTTAAAGAGGTGCCTTTTGCTAATTATCCTAAATACATACTTTGGGCAATGTGTGATGCGAGTACTATTAGTTAAGATGGTCAGGGAGATGAAGCCTATTTGAGTTGACAGTAAGTGACAGGAGCCAAACAGGAGAGGATTAGGGGGAAATTTGACCTGGGCAGAGGGGACATAGAGTACATAGACCTCTGAGGCAAGACTGTGTTTGGCGATTTAACCTGGGGATAACAAACTTTTCTCTAAAGGGCTAGGTAGTAAATATTTTAGCTGTTCCAAGTCATACAGTGTCTGCTGCAACTAAATTCTGCTGCTATAATGCAAAGGTACAGACACATAATAAATAAATGGGTGGTAGTGTCCCAATAAAACTTTATTTATGAACACTGAAATCAGAATTCCTTGTTAATTTTCACGTCACAAAATATCCTTTTTTTTCCCCAACCATTTAAAAACGTAAAATCCATTCCTTTTTTTAAAATTTTTATTGGAGTATAGTTGATTTACAAGGTTGTGTTAGTTTCTACTGTACGGCAAAGTGAATCAGTTATACATATACATATATGCACTTTTTTAGATTATTTTCCCATATAGGTCATTTCAGAATATTGAGTAGAGTTCCCCGTGCTATACAGTAGGTCTTTATTAGTTATCTGTTTTACATATAGTAGTGTGTATATGTCAACTACAATCTTCCAATTTTTCTCTCCCCTCCCTTTCCCCTTTGGTAACCATAAGTTTGTTTTCTACATCTGTGACTCTATTTCTGTTTTGTAAATAAGTTCATTTGTACCATTTTTTTAGATTCCACATGTAAGTGATATCATATGATCTTTGTCTTTGTCTGACTTCCTTCACTCAGTATGACAATCTCTAGGTCCATCCATGTTGCTGCAAATGACACTTTCATTTTTCATGGCTGAGTAATATTCCATTGTATACATGTACCACATCTTCTTTATCCATTCCTCTGTCGATGGGCATTTAGGTTGCTTCCATGTCTGGCTATTGTAAACAGTGCTGCAGTGAACATTGGGGTGCATGTGTCTTTTCGAATTATGGTTTTCTCCGGATATATGCCCAGGAGTGGGATTGCTGGATCATATGGTAACTCTATTTTTAGATCTTTCCGCAACCTCCATGCTGTTCTCCACAGCGGCTGCACTAGTTTACATGCCCACCAACAGTGCAGGAGGCCCCCTTTTCTCCACACCTTCTCCAGCCGTTGTTTGTAGCGTAAAATCCATTCTTAACTCTGGGACCGTAATTTGCTGATATAAGGGGGGTTAGGTAGACGGGGATCAGACCATGCAGGACATGTAGGACATGGTAACAATCAGATTGAAGCAAAGCCCCTTTCACTCTCCAAATGTAAAGCCACCCCTCAGGGCAATTGCAGGCCGGGGTGACAGTTCTGGGAGGCAGCTTCCTACAGCTCACGGGAGATCACCAGGTTTGTTTCATTTTCCCCCAGTATCAAGAGACGACAAGCAAAAAGGCAGAAGCGCGCGCACACGCGCGCGCGCGCGCACACACACACACACGCTCACGCACACACACACACACAGATACACACACATACACACACAGAGCTAGAAAGCCAGAGAGGACGTGCCCAGGTTCACGCTGACGTTTCTCCAGCATGCACTACGGGGTTTAAAGTTGGACGCACACCTGCTCCCTGCGGGAGTGCACCTGCTGAGCCGCGCTCCGTCCTCGTCTCGCGAGAGCGGTGCCGTAGTAGTGGCCCCCACCCCCACCCGGCCACCAAATCCCTCTCCCCGCCCCCTCGGCCCAGCCTCCGCACTGTAGCACAGTCCCTGCCATCTCCACCGCCCCCGGGAGCAGCCTCGGCCCGCCGTGCGCGCTTCCCCCGCGCCCCCGCCCGCCGACTGCTCGCTCGCACGCCCGCCCGGTAGTAATTTCACTTTGCCACGCGAGCTCCGCATCGCCTAGAAATCCCGCCCCCTGCTCCCCCTGCAGCCGCGGGGAGTCGTCCCTTTTCCCGGCCAGGTGCGCGAGCCTGCGCGCTCCTCCTCCGCCTCCTTCGGCGGGTCCCTGGCGAGCCGGAGCCGGGGCCGGGGCCCGGCGGGGGCGGATGCGCGCACCGCGCCTCTCCACCAACCCGCTCCGCTGCAGGTCCCTTGCTCTCCATCCCTCGCCGGCGCTCCCTTGCCCCCCCACCCCCCTTGATTGACAGGCAAGATGTCGGAGTGGAGCGAGGCAGGAGCGAATGCAGCAGCCGTCACCCCCGGAGCCCGGCGGCGGCAGCAGCAGCAGCGCGACGACGAGCCAGCAACCAGCCGCAGTCGCCGCCGCAGCCGCGGGAGCAATGCAGACAGCATCTTGAGAACGCGCTAAAGCACCACAAACGGTGGACAATGCCGTGTCACTGCAACTGGGAGGGGGGCAAACCAGATTTTTTTTGACATAAAAGCCAGCCAGCCAAAAATATATAATTTTGTCCTTCACGGAGCCGGTGTGTAAAGAGTGAGCGCTGTTTTCCTTCTCTCCCTCCTCCTCTCCCTCCCCCTCCTCCTCTTTTTCCTCCTCCTCCTCCCTAAGTGTACAGACAGCATCACATCACCTGGTTTGCTTCTGAGAAACAGCATCTCTCCTTTTCAGGGACCAGAGACTCAGAGAGAAGAGACGTTCTAATGAAGTCTGCTTGATACCCCAAAATAAAATAATAAATTGTGGCTCTTGTCCCCTCCTCCCACCCCCACCCCCTCAACCCTGTGTGAGATGTTGGGTTTCTTCTTCATGAGACATTGTTGAGAAGTCGCAGTGGTTGGAGAGGCGTAGGGGGCAGACTACCTCTGCTCCCCCCACACCCCCCTTTTTTCTCTCCGGGAGGAGGAGGAGGGGAAGGGGGCTTGCAGAGCAAGCGATGGATGAGGAAAACATGACGAAAAGCGAGGAGCAGCAGCCTCTGAGTTTGCAAAAAGCCTTACAGCAGTGCGAGTTGGTCCAAAACATGATAGACCTGAGCATCTCCAACCTGGAAGGGCTTAGGACCAAATGTGCTACTTCCAACGACCTCACACAAAAAGAAATCCGGACCCTGGAGGTAGGTGTTGCCTATGGAAAGAAAGCCATCCTTCCTTCCCTCCCCCTTCTCCCCCACCATCCCCTTTCCCTTGATTCTGTTTGTTGGGGGTGGGGTGGGCGGGTGGGAGGGTAGCAAGGTGGGCACGATTTGGTCTCCTGTGATTTATCTTGCAAAGCCTGCACTGGGTGTCCCTTTACTGTACTGCTGTCGTCGGCGCTTGACTGGGTGGTGGGAGGAGTAGTAGTAACTGTTATTCTTTATTATTATTCTTGCGGCTGTGGTTATCATTCGCGTCCTCTTTGAGGAGTGAGTTCTCCCTTTTTTCCGCTTGTGAATTTGTTTATATGCCACGGGGGCTTGCTTGTGTGCTGGGTAAGACATTAAGGCGCTGCAGAGAACCCACGTGACCTTGCGCATTCTGCAGGTGGTCAAAAGGTGCTTTTTGCTCGCAGAATGGGGCTGCCTGTAAAGATAGACCTCTTCTTTTTCGCCCTCCTTCCCAGCCCCCCTTTTGCTCCTTGGATTTGGTTTGTTTGTTTGCTTGTTTGTTTTCAGTAATGTACATGTCAGGAGGCAAGATGCATGAAAAAGAATTCCCCATTGAGCTACCCATTTCCAGTCAAATCATTTTGATGCAGGGAGCTGTTGCAGGCCTGAAACGTGTTAAAACACAAACAAACAAAAAACAAAAACAACCCTGGATCAGCACACACAGGTGGTGTGGGAAAATACTCTGAATCTCGGTGGGACCGTGCAAAAAGGGGTCAGCAGTTTTATCTTTGGCGTGTTGTAACATTCTCTCCAACAGAACTTGAGGGGGAGTTTGAAGCAATTTCGTGGGGGGGATGGGGGGGGTGGATGCAAAGTTACTCAGAAAGAAGATGGCAGAAATTATTTCTTCCGAAGGCCATCTGGTCAAAGGAAGAAGGTTTCAAGAGCTTTAGAAAATGCCTGGCGTCCACGTAATCATTGAGCATCCACGTTGTTCGAAACATCTCTGGGGTTCGACTCACATCCCTCCCTCCAACTGGCCCCGTGCTACGCATGGCTTGATTAGATTTGGGAACTCCCATTAGCTGGTACTTGCTGGGGGTGGTGGCCATGGGGCTGGGAGGAAAGGAAGGTGGTTCTCCCTGTGGTGGTGCGGGCGTGTGCAGAGCTGGGATGGCCACTAGTTTCCAGCCCGTGTGTTTCCAAGGCCTGAACTCTTTAATCCCTACTGAACCTTTTAGCCCTTGTGCCCCCATTCTAGCCTGGATGAGCATCTATCTCTGGTTCACTTTCAAGTCTTCCTTTTTCCTCCGTGGTTTTAAATTTGGCCGCATGTCAGCAGGCAGGAAGGTCACCAGTTTGAAAGTGGAGTTTGTGTGTGTGTGTGTGTGTGTGTGTGTGTGTGTGTGTGTGAGTATGCTATTTGCTCCCCTAGAATGCATCTCTGTGTGCACCTGTCATCTGGGAAAATGATCGTCAGAAATGAAATAACGTAAGTATCAAGGGGTAGCAGAGGCGTGGGAATTCTGTGGGGAGGCACACAGGTATTTTCTTTCTCGGAGCTTTGGAGAGCCGTGTAGGCTAGGACTCCGCTGATGGAAGAAAAAGTGTGGGATGCCCTGGCCCAGCCTTCTGTCTCTGTCTGAGCAGTGCCCAAGAGAAGATTCTGTTCAGAATTGCATGTTGTAAATAAATAACCCAAAAGGGCCACCGGAGGTCTCTTCTGTTCCTCTGAGTCAGGAGTCCCAAATGCTAGTTTGTGTATTACTATGTAAGTTTCTCCAGTTTTCTTTTCCTCTTTCCAGCATGCTCCATCCTCTGAGAGCTCCCTGGATCATGGTGATTGTTGTAGTGGGCCACGGATTCCATTGCTTCTTTTCTGCATAGTGGTTTTCTTTTTAAACTGGGGGATGTGGGCATTGGTATGGTGGGAAGTGACAGTTACTGGGAATGCATCTGTTGTTAGTTTCCTAATCCCAGTATGCCACAGAGTGTGCCCACGACTTTATCCATATTGCCCAAGAAAGGATCTTGAGTAGTTATGCCAGTTGAGGCTTCCTAGGTCTCTAGGGCTAGGGTGGGGCCTCTGGGGAGGGGCTGATGCCTTAGGGTCCAGGCAAGTGCTGCCAAACCTCTCATAGGTTTTGATCCACAGTTGTTGTTGTTTTTAAATCCCAGCAGTTGTCAAACTTTATATATCAGAACCACCTGAGGGAGCTTATTAAAAATGCAGATTCTCAGCCTCTAATCCCAGAGATTCTAATTCCGTTGGGATTGGAGGGGGCCTAGGGATCTGCATTTAGTAAACAGTCCAGGTGTTTCTGATGCATGTTTTCATATTGACACTTTGAGAAAGACTAATCTAATAGGAGATAGAGGCCATATTTCAGCTATTTGATGATGACATCTCCCTGCTCACAAACCCTAAAGAAAGTAGTAAATTGAACAGACCATCCCTGAAAACCTTGCCTATAACCCCTGTGGAAACAAAAAACATCTGACATGGACTTAGTCTCCAAGAAGCGTACTTTCCTGATGAGGGAGACAAGGCTAATAATGTGTATGTGAGATAATGATAAAGTCCAAACAGTAATATGGGAGACAGCATGTGGGTCCGTTAGGAATGTGTTCAGCTGCGTGAAATGGAAAATCCACCCAGCGTGGTTAAGTAATTAATGGTTTATTTTTCTCATGTAGCAAGAAGTCTGGAGGTATGTAGCTGCTTGAATTGGCTCAGTGAGTTAATAACATTGGGGCTGATGTCTTTGCGAATTCTCATGGCCTCTTCCTTATGGCCACAAGATGGCCCCTGAAGCTTTAACCATCACACCCAGGTTCAAGGTATGGAAGAGGGGGACCAGGTGAATAGGAAGGAATAAAGGCTTCATATCTCTGTTTGGTTTCCGCAGGACACCTCTGCCTTCCTACCCCTAAGGTGATGTTTCATTATGTCTTCTTTGCCAGAACTGGGTCAGATCACTTGTCCGAGCTGCAAGGCAGTGGGGGGTACCACCGTGACTGGTTTAGATAGTTGCAGTCCGTTTCCTGGTTTGACCTGTTGCTACTCCATACAAAATCAGGGTTTTGCTAGCATGGAAGAAGGCATGAAGGGACATTGGGTGGACAGCCAGCAACGCTGGCCACAGTATGTTACCAGGAGGTACTTTGGCAGAGAAGAAACGTCATGAGTTTTGGAGTTAGACCGATGTAGTTTGGCATTCTAGCTTTCCTACTTACTTTATCTTGGCCTAGTGATTTAAATTTTCTGACCCCTGGTTTCATTTTTGGCAAAATGGCAGTGAAGGAATAACATTACCTTCCTCAGAGGTGGTGGTAAGGATGAAGAGGTGAGATTTTCAAGGGCCTGACGCTGTCTGTAGCCCAGTGCCTGCAGGTGCTGAATAAATGGTAGCTTCTTTGATGGTGATGATTAGCATTACATGGTGGAGAGTAGATGACACGGAGGGAACAGCTCAGACTGGAGGAAGAGAAGAAGGAGCTTAAGCAGCATTTCCAAAGTATGTTCTGTGGAACCCGAGCATTCTCATTCTTTCAACAAATACTGAAATCCTGGCACTGTACTAGATGCTGGTGGTCAGCAAGTATTCTGAAGGCAAAATAAATCCCATGGTTAACACATTTGGGAAAGGTTGAGGTAAGCAAACGAGATAGGTATCTTGACTGCAGGACTTCTCAGAGCCTTTAATGTGCTGTATTTGTACATTGTGACTCCAAGAGAGGGTAGCGTCTGCGGTGTTTCCTTTTTCCAGAGACATCTCTTGGGCTTGATGTTCCATAGAATGCACCCAGGGAAGCATGTGACGAAGTGGTTAGGGAAGCATCCTTGATTGGGGAGCTGGGGACCCTGAGTGGAGTGAGGTATGGGGAGGGTTTAAATTGCAGCGGGTTGGGGGAGCTCTCTGGCCCAGAACAACAAACCGGATGGAGGCATTCTCCTGCCTTCAAGGGGCAGCTTACAGACCGGCTGGCCCAGAATGGAGAGTACCTGGTAGGGTGTCATAGGAAACGAATTCAGGTTACAAACTCCTGGGGTGTAACTTAGGATCAGGAAGTCAGACAAACAAAGTTTCATCCCTTTGAGAGGGGAGATAGAAATCTTCAAAGGTTTTGGAGTGAGTACAATTAAAAAGTTGTTTCAAGGTTAGTCTGATGGCAGCCTGCAGCAGGGACCAGCAAACTTTTTCTGTAACGGGACAGATAGTAAATCGTTGAGGCTTTGTAGGCCATGTGGTTTCCATCACAACCACTCAGCTCTGCTCTTGTAGCCTGAAGCAGCCACGGACAACCCAGAAATAAATGTTTTCTAATAAAACTTCATTTAGGGTCCCTGAAATCTGAATTTGATATAATTTTCACATGTCACGAAATAGTATTTTCCTTCTAATTTGTTTTTTACATTTAAAAATGTAAAAACTATTCTTCGGTTTCGGGCCTTAAAAAAACAGGTGGTGGGTCAGACTTGGCCCGTGGGCTGTAGTTTGCTGATCCCTGATTTATAGGGTGAGAAATGAACCTGGAGGCACAGAGGCCATCTGAAAGGTGAGTGAGTGGCACTAGGGCTGGTGGGCACTGGCCACGTGCAGCTGGTACTAAGTTGGGTTCTATTTCGGTTAAGTTACAAGTGGAGGTAAATATCAGGGATTGGGTTGGGGGATGGCTAAGTAACAGAATCTCCTATACAGCGAGGGTGTTCTAGCCGTCACATATCTATTATTTGTTCTTTATCTGTTCCGTCGCAATGACTGATTATGGTTTGAGAGACCATACCTAGACTTAATTAAGTTTGGGAAACTGGACCTCAGACAATAACGCATTATTTTCAGTGATGCTGTGGGTTGGGATTGGCTGGGCAGTTCTTTGGCTCGTCTTGCAGAGCAGTAGTTCTGGTCATCCGGCAGCTCCACTGAGGCTGAATGGTCCAAGATGGCCCTATTCTTGTGGCTGGTGGTCGGCTAGTGATTGGCTCAGGTACCTCAGTTCTCTTCCACATAGCCTCTCCAGCAGGA